TAAAATGGTAGGAAACGACCGGTTTTCCAAGGTAGACAACGGACAACAGTCGTCATCTCCTTGTCGACTCATATCGCGTTCCTTGACGTTTCTTTGAATCCTCACTTTTCCTTCCTCTCTGATCTGATTTTAGGGTGGTCATTTGATTTCCTCTCTCCTCCACCTCCTGATCCATCATCTCCTTTTCCCATTTGTCAACTTAAACACTTCACCTTCTTCTTCTTCTCCTCTCCTACTGTCCACTTTCCTCCTCCCCCCCTTTTGCTTCTTCTGTTTCACCTCAGCTTGTATTGATTAGCTCTTCTTATGCATGCGCCTGACTGGGTTTTTCCGCAAAAACAAGGACATTTATTTGGTAAACAGAGATCAAAGACCTCTTATGTCCATTAATCTCTGGCAACAGTTTAACCAAGGACTAAGGCAGTGGCTCCAAACCCCAGGGTCGGGGGCCTACTTGCGGCCCGTGAAGTTCTCACATCTGGCCTGTGGTGATAGATTCGAAGGCTTTAGAAGGTCCTTTAAGAACCTTAGTACCGGCTATTTGGACTATAGTATTATACAGTATTTATATATATAAACTGAAGTGATGTACGATAATGCATTTTGAGTGGTCATCAATACAAGGAAAGTGCTGCGTAAGTGCAGACTGTTTGCCTGTTCTTACTTAAGTAACACGATGTGCCTGCCCATCAGTGTGAACATGATGGGATGTCATTATTCTGCATAGTTTAACAGACGTTCATTTTGAATTGAGAGTGATACCGTGCAGCCAATAACCATCCAAAACCAAACATTTGGGACTTTACGGTCCATCATCTAAAAAAAATAAAATCTCTAAATTGAGAACAAACACGGTTAGATATTATACTTGTTTTTTTCAAACGACATCATCATCTATGGGCTTCTCGCATTTACACTTACACGCTTTTTCTTCCCGGACCGTGATCCATACGTTCAACTTATTTTGCGTTGCATATCACCAGGCAACCATGTCAAATATGACCCTCCCCCTTATTGATCACACGGGCTTTTTGACTGGCTGGCTTTATGACGGGGTTAAATCATGACCTGATTCCATTCCATTAGCAGAAGCACTTTTAAACAACAACCATCGGCCGCAGCATCTGAATAGGCTCTGATTGGGCCCTATAAATTACCTCTGTGCTGACACGTACCCGTAACAGCGTACACTCCTCTACCCCTGCAGCTCGTTTATAGGTCGACGCCCACTAGGGGATGTGTTATGTGTGATTTATTGTCAAGAGAAAGCTTTTAGAGGTAACCGACCTTATGGTAAGAGTACATGGTGACGCCATCAGCGTTGGAGACGGATTTATAAGCCGCAAGTTGTTGCTGCTCCTCCACCCAGCGGTCCATGTCGGGGTTGGCGGGTTTGAGTCCCCGCCGTCTCAGGGTCTGAGGTGTCCTCTGGGGCGTCCTGGGACTCTGCGGACAGTGCGTTCGACCTGGGGACTGATGCGCGGCCACGTCGGGTTCTCTCGCGGCCCTATCGGCGTGCCTCGTTTCGTTTATGCCCAGCAGCGAACTTGCGCTGAGGCTGTGGTCGAAGGGAGGCTTGGCCGACGAATGTCCCCTGCTCAGAGCCAGGTGGACGGCCTCGTGTTTGAGCTGGTTCACGTTGGTCCCGCAGGCCGTGCACTGGCCCTGCTCTCGCTCTCTTTCCCTGGATTCAAGGGTAGAGCGCGTGTGGACTCGGAGGGTGGCGTTGAG